TTTTTTCTTACTTTCATGTTCATAACTACTGCGTCATTTTCAACTCTTCTTTCTTCTTCCCTTAAATTCTAGCGGTCATCAAGTAAAAAATTTCTGTGTTCTCTCTCTCTCCTCTGATCCTCATTTCCTCCATTTTGCTTATGCCCTTATTACTTTTTTTTTTTTTTTTGCCCTTATTACTTTTAACTGAAGTTCCATAACAGAAGAGGGAGAGGATCTTCTCTTTTCCTGTCCATCCTCAGCACAGCTGACAGATTATTCTTCCTTATCTGCAGCTCTCAACTCCGTGGCTCTAAAATCTTTAAAGTCTCATCTTTGCCCATCATATTAGCATTTTCACCCTGGTATTCAAGATCCTACTAATATAGGCTACTATATTATACAGGATCCTACTAATAACAGGCCTGGCACACATTCCCAATCTTACTTCCTACTACTTTCCCTAATGTTCCACATGTTCCAAACTTGGTTGCCTCTCTAAATAGGATCTGTGCCTTCTTCCTTCTAAGGCTTTCTTTCCTTCCTGCCACTTAAAAACAGCTCAGCATAGTGGAAAGACAAGCTTTGAGCTTTGGACTCACTGCATTCAAATTCCTACTCATCAAATGTGTAATTGTGGGCAAATTATTTAAGTTTTCAAGTCCTGTTTCATAATCTTTAAAATGTACATAATTCTTACCTCGAAGCTATAGCTTGAGCTTTAAATGAGATAATCCAGCAAAGGAACTCAGTACACATTACTGTTCTTTTTTCCTTCATGTAGACAAATCTCAAACATTGTGTTCTCACTCCATTAAGCTTTCTTCATCTTCTAACCCAGATGTGACCTCTGCCTTATTTTTCAGTAATTTGTATGAATCTTAGGGCATTAACTTTACTCTGTATTAAAATCATTTACCAAAAAAAATTATTTACCAAGTTATGGAATATTTGATGCCAATGATCTTGTTTTCCCATCTCAGGATTTCTGTGGCACTCCACACAGTGTCTTGAATCTAGCTTAGTAAATATTTGTGCAATGGAACTGATTTGATTATTTCCAGTAAAAACAGGATGTAGGAAAAAAGCCCTTAGCTAATCCTAGGTCTATAGGGATAATCTATCAATAAGATAAGTAAGAGATAAGGCTGCAGAATGAAGAGACTACATATTTAACTACAGACATCAAGACTATATACCTTCTGGCAGAATTCATTTCCAGTTATGAGAACATCAAACTAAACCTCAGGGCTACATCTCCAGGAGACATAACTTCCCTGTCCCAAAATTTGAAGGATCCAATGCCACTATATGAAAGTAGACACCAAGAATTACAAACCCGGTGAGGGTCAATGGAGGTGGTTTCACCAGATGATGCCAAAAAATGACCTATGACACAAATACTGTTTACAAAATCAGCATAGATAGGAGTGGGTCTGACTACCAGGTTGGATACAGTTTCAAGCTATTTGTTACCACTCTATAAAATATCTCTCCTCATTTTTCTCATATTTTACTATGAATACAGATTTCACATGGATGCACATGCTGTGTGGTGAAAGGCCATTTACTGCCTTTATCTCAGGTTCTAAATTCTTGCAAACATGGCTTTAGTAAAGCCATTTTTATCTAATCAACTAGAATTTCTTCACATATGCTTTCAATATCTCAAAAAAGCATGGAAGTTCCTTCTTCTTTGGTATCAATTCAAGGAAAAATATTCCAATTCATTTGCCCTTCAATCTGGAGCATTCAACTTCAGCTGAGGTCATGATCTCACGGTTCTAGAGTTGGACCCCCGTGTCGGGCCCTGTGGTGACAGCTCAGAGCCTGGAGCCTGCTTCAGATTCTGTGTCCTCCTCTCTCTCTCTCTGCCCCTCCCCTGCTCATGCTCTGTCTCTCTCTTTCTCAAAAAATAAGCATTTAAAAAATTTAAAAATCCTTCACAATATGCACATCATAAATGAGTTAATCCTCACTAGAGCATTATTAGTTTTTGGGTTTGCTCTAAACAGTTTTATTGAAAATAATTTTATTTTTTTTAATGTTTATTTATTTTTGAGACAGAGTGTGAGTGGGGAGCAGGGTGCAGAGAGAGGAGGACACAGGATCCAAAGCAGGCTCCACACTGAAAGCACAAAGCCCCTGTGAGGCTTGAACTCACGAACCGCGAAATCATGACCTGAGCCGAAGTCAGACGCTAAACCTACTGATCCACCCAGGCACCCTGAAAGTCATTTTAAGTAAGGGTAATAGAAAGTTTAAAGAATCATTAATGAAAGTATCAGTTTTGTCCAGATGGCAAGTATTTGCACCTGTGATGTCAGGATTAAAAGTTACCGCAGTGCCTGGGATGGTGTTTCACACGCAATGGTGTGGATCCAGTCTCCATAACTGAGAGATAATCCGTATTAAGACTGTCCTGAAGTTCAGTAAAATATGTAGCATATTCAGTTTTCCCCTAGATCAATGCTTCAAAAGAGAATAGAAGAATTCTGTGGCCTGAAGGAAAAGGGAAATTAGTTTTGCAGCCCACACAGGAGACAAAAGAATGATCTTCTGTTCTGTGGCTGTTATTTTTTGCTATGCATTTAAAGTATGTGATATTGTGAAATCATGATTGGAATGCTTTCTATTAAAAAAAAATTCTCCTAAGGAAAACCACGGAAAACTCCCAAGAAGTCAGAAAAGCTGAAAACCTCAAACAAGAACGTATTGAGTAGCGGCTGTTCTCAGGATTTGTCACTCTCCCTGTTTAACAAGTGCAAATGCACAAATATGATGATTTTCTTTACCTGCCTAACCTCCAGGGGCTCCCATTTACCCCAGGTGAAATTCCAAGTCCTGCATATGACTTTCAGATCCTCTCAAGGCTGGCCCCTGCCTCATCATCTTCCACCTTCCTCCTTGCCTGCCTGCTGTGTATCCCCCTGCTCCCACCCCTTCCCTCTCTGCTCCGGCCACACTGAGCTCCTTTTCCTGGCCTTTGTGTTTTGTGCACACTCTTCCTTCTTTCCCTCTTTTCCACCTTTTTCACCTGGATATATTACCCTTAACTCCCATGTCTCAGTTTGAATGTCATCTTCTTGCAAAAGACTTTCTTGACCCCCAGCCCAGCTTGGGAGCACCTCATTGATGTTCTCATAGTGCCCATACTATGTATGGGCACACACTATTGTAATGGTGGGTTTGTTTTTCTGTGTCTGTTTTACTTGTCTGCATTTTCCACAACATCGTATATAATTCAGTAGGGTCAGGGACCACGTCTGTACTGTGTAATAGCATTCTTCAAACTAGGGCAGATGTATTCCTGGGTGTACGCAAACAATTCCCAAAGAAGTACGTGAGTAAAAGTAGTCTTTAGGGACTCAGATACCAGAACTTCCAATTCCACGTCTCCTTTCCCAAAACAGATCTGCCTGAAAACCTGCCTAAGATTAGGCATAAATGCCAGTCCTCATTTCTCACTCTCTTTTCAAAATTACCCTTTTCTCACTTCATGAAAGAAAAGCCTACCTCTCATTGATGCCAAATCTTAACATGGAGAGTTTCATAGGATATAAAAACCATCAAGAAGACAAACTCTTCAAAGCAAAAATGGAATATTAGTGTTAGTGCAGCCTCCTTTAATTGAATCACCATCAACCCACAGCATGAGTTTAGCGTCTTCCCTATCTTTTAGATATTTCTCTTAATGTAAAATGTGGGCAGGAACTTGTGCTATTTGGCCAAAATATCTGAATTCAAATTTATTCTGGACACAGTCACAGTGATGGTCATTTTTATTCTCCCCATCAACTGTTTTCTTTTTTCCCCCACATTTACTGAGATGTAATTGACAAACAAAAATTTTACATATTTGGGGCATACAACGTGATGATTTCACATATGTACATATTGTGAAAGAATTACCACAATCAAGTTAACACATCCATCAGCTCAGTTACCTTCTGTGTGTGTGGGGGGG